GATGGATGGATGGATGGATGGATGGATATGGATGGATGGATGGATGGATGGATGGATGGTTAACATTATCTTTCCAAAAATGCATTCATGCTTATTACAAAAAATTGATGTCACAGGTACTTTAATATTTTGAATCATCATCTGGTCCCAACAGTCAGTGAGGTACTACCTTAATGGTTAGTCCACATATCAAATGAATTGCTACAGTCTGAACCCTCCTTGGGTCAAAATGAGTCGGAGGCCTTGAAGTCATTTTGACCCAAGGACAGCAGGAGGGTTTAAACGACTCTAAAATGTTATGGCAGTTAATGCAAACAGTTTTTTAAATAAACCTTTATCATCATCTGTTTTGCAACAGATGGTTCTTTATATGTTACTTATGATTTGTATTTACAATTAGCAGCAGCAGTAACTACCTGTAGCACTTCCTGTAGAAATATTGTGCTAGAAGAACTCTGAAAACTGTGGTTGTGTAAAAGTTTAAAAACACATTTTGCTCAAACTGTTTGGATTTTTTTTTTCAGTTTGAAATTGTTTTAAGATGACAGCAACTCAGACTAGCCTTTACCCAGTCAGTTTGTTCAGAATTAAATGTAGTAGCTCAAGTGGAGGTTGTTCAAAGAGCTGTCTGAAACAGGTAAGATATTGCCTGGTCATAACCTTTGAACAGTAACTTTCTTTAAAAGATTTGAACCTTCTGTCATTTTAATATTTATTTTTTAGATATTTGTAAAAGCAAAGTCTTAAACTCTTACAGAAGCTCTGCCTTCATTTCTTTTGTATTGTTTGTTTTGTTGTGGGTAAAAGTTGAAAATAGACCTGATGTTACAGAAACYCTGCAGTCTGATCTCGTTGATGTTTCCTTCCTGTCGTGGATTTGCATTTCTAGATATTTCTTCAAACGAAGACTTTGCATCCTTTCCTTTAAACTCATGATGGCTCGTTACTGAAAGCTGGGCTCTTATTTTGGTGGGTTTGCAGCGAAGAAGCTCCAGTGCTGTGATTTAAACTCTGTTGAAAAGGTCGCTGTGAGCAGCAGCAGCAGCACATGGACTCAAAGTGGAGACTTTGATCTTCGGATGGACCCAACATCCTGTCAGCCTCCCCCATAAACACCTCTTTGGGGGTACAATTTGCTGCAGGGGAGGGGGAGCGCGGTGGTAAATGTGTCCTGTAGACAGTGGAGGGAAGGGTTAACACCTCACTCTCAGTAGGGCGGTCTCTTTTTCATGGACCCCAGAGGAGCAACAATCGGCCTCCTTTCTTTAATAAGGGTCTTATCAACCCCACCCACATGTGACCACAGAGGAACTCAGCGCTCCGACCCGACTGCATGTCTGGACTCCACTTCGTCTAAAACTGAGTCACTTTTGGACCCATTCAAGATGGCCGCCACAGCTGAGGGACCTCGGCAATCCCAGAAATAACTTTAGAGCTAAACTGAGTCCTGATAATGAACTCTGAGCTCTTTGTTTTTCTGTTGTTTGGGCTTTTTTATGCACAACTAAACACTAATTTTAGAATAGAATAGAATAGAATAGAATAGAATAGAATAGAAACATCCTTCATTATCCCGCAGAGAGGAAATTCAGGTGTAACAGCAGCAGCAGATCAGTCCACAAAACAATGTATTGCTATGTGACATAATATAATTAAAATAATGACAATAAAAATTAAAAATCAAATAAAATTGCTGTACAAGGCTATAAAATTAAATAAGATAAAAATAAAAAATAAGATGCTGTGCAGAAAAAAAGTTTCCTGGAAATCAGGGATGTTTGCAAAATCATATATTTACACTAAAACACACAAAAGGGAAAAAAATTCAGGAAACAGCAAAAAATAATGTTTCTGCTTTTTATTTAAGAAGCCTCTCAGTTGTTTTCTGTTCGAYTGTTTCAGGATATCTGAAACTTCTGATTAATTCAACAATTTTAACATTGAACTTTTTTTTTCTACATTTTTAATCTGCCTCTCTTACCAACAGACACCCAGAATATGGAGCTACCAGCATGCTTTGGATATTTTTGCTGATTTTTGTCATTGTCTAGTTGTTTTTTTGAGCAACAAGTTTTTGATGCATTACTTTTTTCATTTTCTACTTTTTCCACTGTTTTTTATTTTATTTTATTTAACTTTTAGGCTTTTTAAAACACTGGCTGCACCTCATCTGATGAGCACTTTGAAAACATAATAAAAAAAAAACCCTTTCAAGTCAAACATGTGAAATGCAGAGAAAAAACAGGCCCAACAGTAAACAGAATATTCATAAGATGGAGCTGATTTCACTGGAAGCTTCTATTGTTGGGAAAGAATGACACTGGTTTGTAAATCTGTTTTTATCAGAGCAGGAACATCCACTCTGTCCTCTTATCCCTCACCAGGCTTTGAAGTGCAAACCCCGCCCCCCCCCCCACCCCCATTTGTTTCCCATGAAGCCCCCCTGCAATCACAGAATTTACAAGTTGTAATTCACCCAGAGTTTAATCTTTTGAATGATCAGACGTCTGATTCACGTGTAAAAATGAACAAAAATAAAGAAAAAACAACTCCAGGGTTGTAAAATTAAACCGTTTTTCTTAAAATAACAAAGTGTCATTACCCTGTATAAAGCAGTCAACATATCAAGTGTTCAAACTAGTAATTTGTACCATTTAAAAACCAAACAAACATGGAGTCATTTTAAAACTGATGGCAGCAGAAACATTTCAAAGATCCTGAAGCATCCAAACATCTGAGAACCGAGGAGAACATTGTTCCATTCCTCACTAGATTGTTAATTCCATGATGCTCCAGATGTGTGAGAGGTTTGGACCGCGGCCTGGAGACATGATCAAAGATGGGACACGTCCAGGACTGTTTGTCCTCCTGTCCTCTGGGCAGAGGAGACACACGAGTCTGAGCTGTCAGATCTGGGAGCTGCAACAAGTTCTTTCTAGCGATGAAAGTCTCAAAGTAGCTAAAACCAGCAAAAAGTTAATGTCAGCTAAAAGATGACTAACAGCTAAAACTAGCAAAAGGTTTATTAAAACCAGCTAAAACATTACTAACAAATAAAACTAGCAAACCTAAGGGCAAAAAGTTAAAAACAGCACAAAGAAAGGTAAGTTTTACCTAAAAGTTAAAACTATGAAAATGCTAACTAAAAGTATCTCATTTCTTTATTAATAAATTCATAAATGTACTAAGTCTACAAGCTAAGATCAGCAAAATGCTAATTAAAACCAACAAAGTGTAAACTAAGAGCTAAAAATGCAAGGTTAACCATATAGCAAAAGCTAAAAGTAGCAAAGTAGCCTATAGCTAAAAGATACAGACTATGGAAGCCTAAAAGAAGCAATTAAAATATTAAAATGGCTAAATGTTAAAAGTAGTTAAACTAAAAAAAGTCTATAGGAGCTAGAAATGTCAAAACCTTGGTAAAAGCTAAAACCAGCAAAATGCCAATTAAAACCAATAAAAAAAGCTAAAAATAGCAAAAAAAAAAAAAAAAAACTAAACAAAAGCAAAAATTAAGCTAGTTAATGGCTAAAANAAAAGCTAAAACCAGCAAAATGCCAATTAAAACCAAAAAAAAAAAAAAAAAAAAAAAAAAAAAAAAAAAAAAAACTAGCCAAAAGCAAAAATTAAGCTAGTTAATGGCTAAAATAAGTAATCGCTATAGACAATAGAGTATTACAGTCTAAAGGCATCAAAATTTTATCTACAAGCTAAAAGTATCAAAATAGGCCTACCTGCTAAATACTAAACAAATGTACAAAAAAGTTTACGTAAGAGCTAGAAATAATTGCTAAAAGCTAAAATCAGCAAAACGCCAATTAAAACCAATAGAGTTAAGTAGCAGAATGGTAGCTAAAAGAATGCTGATGCAGATATCAACAAATCTGTTTATTTTTTTGTGAAGAAATCTCAATAGCTTATTAAGTGGCAAATWTAATTATTTTTTACTATATTATTTTTTACTTTTCTTTTTATGGACTACTTTTTTGTCTTGAAATAAAGAAAATACTAATTAAAGTTAAATGTTTTGCAATGTTTTAAAGTTATACAAATTATCTGAATGGTAGCCAAACAATTTCATATGAAAAGCTAAAATAGCACAAAGTGTGCAGAAGAGATTGTGAAAAATAGGGACGAATGAAAATAAGCAAATGTTTGTTTCTTGTTTTTGTTTTTTTTCCCCCGCACAATTGTTGTATGGTATAAAACCTTTGCACAGTGATAGTACTGTACTAGTTAAAGTACTGAGTACTTCTGGGTTTCTRCTCATTTAAATCCTTACCCATGAACATCAGGTGGAGTTCTTTGCTCCCGCATCCTGCTGAAAGCTGAGTCAGTGGGAGGAGAGAAGGTTTGAGGAAGAGGAGGAGAGTCTGCAGCAGGAGGAGGAGGAGGAGAGTCTGCAGCAGGAGGAGGAGGAGGAGGAGGAGGAGGGTCTGCAAGAGTTTCCTCTGTCTCATCTGTTGCAGAGCTGCTGCAGGAGAGGCAGCTGCGGCGCCGCATCCCGCACCGAAGGAACGCGTCCTCTGCGCTCCGGCGCGTTTCTTGTGCGTAAAACCAAAAACGATCCGACCCCACACCGGGAGGACTGGGACTGAAAAACGGAAGCAGGACTTTCTGATGAGGAGCGGACCTTTTGTTTTTGTTAAATCCAATCCGAGGACAGGGGGAGCCGAAGGATTTGTGTTTCTTTCCTAAAAAACTGAGAAGCGCCAAGTGGGGACAGAAAACATGAACTCCGTGCTCCTCTGTGCGCTTCTGTTGGTAAAAGTAAGTAACATGTATTTATTATCCACTCCTTCACCTCCTCGCGTCCTTTCACGCTCTTTTACTGTCAGTAAAATCTGYTCTGTGAACTCCTGCCGCCCACTTCTGCCCCACCATTGTTCCCAGTGCACTTCCGCTCCGCTCCACAGAGCCAGATGTCGCACATCATCAAGCGCTGCTGCTGATTCCCTCTATTGTTGCCAGTGGAAACAGGCAGGGACACATCTGGTCCCAAGTMAACTCACGAGCAAGATGCGGCCCGCGGGCCAATACCGGCCTTTTGACTTTAAATCCGGCCTTCGATGTGTCAAACAAAACAAAAGATTTTAAATTAACTAACAGGCAAGATTTTGTCAAATAATCTTTAAGAAAGTCAAAGAAAATTGTTTTATTGTTGTTGCTAAAATAGGCACAAATTTTTTATTTGTTAAATTCCTACACATGTTGCATCCTTTAACCAAAAGATGATGTTTTTAATCAACGCTCCGAAATTTAGAGAACGTTGTTGAATTTGAATCAAGCTTGCTAATTATGCAACAAGTTTGTCATCATCACAAAAAAAAAATAAAAAAGACAAATTGGATTTACCTCCTTTGTCATGAAAATTCTGTCTGTTAGCAAAATATCTCATGAACCACAGAAGTGTTTTTAATGAAACGTTCAGGAATAAATCACTAGATGTACGCCTACAACTGTTTAATGTTTGGAGTCAACCCAATTCAAGATGGCCGCCACAGCTAATCGAATTTAATGAGCACAAATACGGCTGTAACTTTGTCATTTTTACAGCTATTGAGTTAAAAATTGGTGTGATGGTAGCTGAGAGTTATTGCCAAGAAATTAATTAAAAATTTTAGCTACACATGTCCTCTGACTTAAGTATTTTTGTCATTTTGTGCGACCCTTCAGTCTCTTTAACTGTTTCCAGTCATCTAAGCTTTTTCTTTCCTACAGAGGCTCATCTCAGACACATGGGAGGAGTCAGTTTGCAACAAAGCAAATAATAAATCGTGTATTTTATGAACAAATTATAGTTTGAGTGGTGTTTAAATACACATTAAAACTAGGATCAGGGTGAAAAAAGCCCCTAATTTTATCATCACATTAACTTGACACTAATTTTCTTCCAAAAGAAGAGCGAGAGAGAAAAAGGACAAGTTTTGGGAGGTTCTGTTCTTGTCCAAACTTGTCCTCTCCAGTCAAAGCACTTTTTTAAATCCAAGCATTCAGATAACACTTAACCTCGTAAAGATCCGTATCTTTTYATGGTTTTAAAGGATGTTAAGAAGTCCTGTTGTTCTCTCTTCTGCTGGTGAAGAGGGAGCATTTCTGCCAGTGTTGACTCACTTTGTGCGGATCGTGTTTCTGGTACCAGTATTTACTGTACGGCCCACCATGTGTCTCGCCCCTCGGCACATCCTGGTGAAAATGTGGCCCATTAGCGGTGCAGCTGGAACGTCCTGAACCAAACAATTATTAGTGTCTCGTCTACGCATGTGGTGGGGGAGAGTTTGCAACCTCTTGATGTATCACAGATGGGAGAATTCCAGAGTTTAAAGTGTTTGTTTTCCAACACGACGGTGAAAATGTGTCAATTCAAAGCTGCTGTGGTGATCGAAGCTCCAATCAGCTGCAGGAACATTTGGCACAAATCAGGGTTTTTAGCTCCATAAAGGACCCATGTAGGATTTTTTTATGACCGTTTTTCAAACATGGGTCCAGATATTAATGTTATCGATTAGCATCAAGTATTAGGGAACTCAGCAGATCTTCAGCTGCAATAGTGATGATATTAAAATCCTTCATGGCAGACAGTGTCTCTAAGCAGACTAAACAAAGGTTTGCTTTGAAACTCTGTGAACAGATAGTCTAACCCCCACCCAAAATATTTTTTTTCTTTAAAAAAAAAAGCTCACTTAAAGCAGCTCCTGAGAAAGAGCTGGCATTCAATCCCATCCTTRAACGACATCAACACACAGTCTAAACGGTATTCAGTTCTGACATGCGGGTACGCGCTCAATGTAAACAAAGCGCTCAGCAGATTTCCCCAGAAACCATGGAGGCTCCAAACTGAACAAACACAGCAGAATCAAACAGGCGCAGGGTTTCTGGTGTCTTCCGTGGTAGTTGGCAGCTATTCACTAGTTTTATATGAAAATGTGTCGTTTAGGAACACAATGAGCATTCATTACTTTATAATTACTTTTTTAAACTGTCTTTATGACATTTCAATGATCACCTTTAATGGGGATCACCCCCGCCCCTCTTTTTTTTTTTCGGCGCAGTAATCAGACAGGATGTGGAGTTTAAAGTCTCCACTGAACTTCCTCTGTGTCAGACCGTGAAGGTTGGTGGGTCGGCGTTTTCACAGGGATGTGTGTGTGTGTGTGTGTGTGTGTGTGTGTGTG